TTTTTAGTAGAGACAGAGTTTCTCCATGTTGGTCAGTCTGGTCTCAAACTCCCGATCTCAGGTGATTTGACCACCTCGGCCTCCCAAAGTGCTGGGATTATAGGCATGAGCCACCGCACCTGGCTAAAAGTCAGTTTTTAATAAGAACAAACCCAGTCTATACTTGTCTATATCAAATAGTCTAAAAATTTGGATCATTTTGTGACAAACATAAGCAAGTCTCAAGGTTACAAGAAAACAGTCCTTGAAACTATTAACACAAGGCTAGCCCTTACACTTCTTAACAAAAAGATGTAGCCAGAAGCTTATTTTATGATGATAAGGTACAGAATAACTGTAGATTTAACAGATTTGTTACTAAACTGTTTCTTATCTATCTAAACAATATCTAATGTCTAGCTCAAGGTTGTTCTTTTAAAAGTATCTGTTTTAACAGATTCTTATTCTATCAAGGTTTTTCATCAAATGCCTCCACTTCAGCTAAATTTTCTAGCCAAGTCTGTCTGCAAGGAAATGAGGCTTAATTCCACCCAAAACACCAGAGAGAACTGATAATCCTAAACTTCCAGAGGGCGGAAAAAAACTTCCTCTACTGCAACAGACACTGCAGGTAGTCTGCCAAACAGCCATCTTCCCTTTCCTGCCTGTTAACAGAAGCCAGGTTTGGGGGCCTGTAGCGCGGCCCTCCGGAGGGAAGAATCATGATTGCACCAGGCACAGGGGGCCCCTTGGCCAGCTGTTGAACTGTGCGGTATGGCACAGTCCTGACCAAGCAAATTCAGGGAAGTGTTTGCTGGGAATAGTGTAATTTTCTTGCTTCTCTCCTTGTGACTCAGGCTGTGACGTTTGGAGCTGGCACAGTCATCTTATCTCCTTGAAGTGTGACATCATCAACATGCTGAGGATGGAGGAGCAGAGAGCGGAAAGGAGCCTGGGCCCTGGTGAGCACGGGGAGGTGCCAGTTCAGCCTTGGGATAGCTTACTTCCAGTCCTCCTACTACGGAAGCAATCAGTGTACCTATACTATTCTTAGACAGATATTATGTTCCGAAGGGAGTCACCCAAACTATGCCTCTTTAGCATAAGGATTATTTTGAGCTGAAGGCAATTGAAAAGCAGCAGACTCAAGAAAAGCTCTCTAGGCCGGGCGTGGTGGCTCAAGCCTGTAATCCCAGCACTTTGGGAGGCCGAGACGGGTGGATCACAAGGTCAGGAGATCGAAACCATCCTGGCTAACACGGTGAAACCCCGTCTCTACTAAAAAATACAAAAAAATAGCCGGGCGAGGTGGCAGGTGCCTGTAGTCCCAGCTACGCGGGAGGCTGAGGCTGGAGAATGGCGTAAACCCGGGAGGCGGAGCTTGCAGTGAGCTGAGATCCGGCCACTGCACTCCAGCCTGGGTGACAGAGCAAGACTCTGTCTCAAAAAAAAGAAGAGCTCTCTACCTTTCTCTATCTGCTGACAAAACAAGGCATACATATCCCGCTGTGAAGGCATCCCCTGCTCTTATATCAGGAAGGGAAAGACAACCTTTATTACTGGAGTGGGGAAAGCGTGGAGATGAGTCTGCACAAACAGACCTATTAAATAACCCTTACCATCCATTGGTCTCCCCAGAAATTTACCTGCCCACAATTTACTGCTCCTAGAAGCACAAATCCTTTTCCTTTGTCCTGTCTCCACAATTCATCACTCTTTGTTAAAATGGCATACAGGCCTCTGGGTCTAGCTTCTCTTTGGGTCTTCACTTCTATTCTATGGAAGCTTCCATGTACATATGAAAACATCAGATGACATTTGTATTCCTCTTCTACTGTTTATCTGTCTTTTGTCAGGTGGTTAATTAGCAGATCCCAGTGGCAGAACCTAAGACACCGGAGGAGAAGTTCTTCCTCTTCTACAGTTCCTTGCTGCCCAAGCCATCTTATTTGATAGGCATACAAAGAATCAGAAAGAAGAATACCATAAGACATCTCAACAGCAATATGGACAGTTAGAAGATAGCAAAAAGATATCTTCAAAGCTCAAAGAGACTACCAATCACCAGCAGTGGGTAAGAGTCCCCATTTTCCTCTGTCTTCATCAGCACTTCTGGTAGCTATGCAGTGGTAGCTCATTCTTTTATTTGAATTTGCTTATACCCAGTGAGACTGAGCATTTTATCAGAGATACATTGACCTAGTGGATTTCTTCTAGAAACTGTCTATTCATTTGATTTGAATTTCTTGTCTCCTTTTTTTTTTTTTTTTTTTTTGAGACGGAGTCTCGCTCTGTAGCCCAGGCTGGAGTGCAGTGGCCAGATCTCAGCTCACTGCAAGCTCCGCCTCCCGGGTGGCTAGTTTTTTTTTTGTATTTTTTTAGTAGAGACGGGGTTTCACCGTGTTAGCCAGGATGGTCTCGATCTCCCGACCTCGTGATCCACCCGTCTCGGCCTCCCAAAGTGCTGGGATTACAGGCTTGAGCCACCGCGCCCGGCCGTCTCCTTTCTTAATATGCAAAGTTTCTCTTGTATTCTGATACTAATCCTTTGTTTTCTATGCTGCAAATAACTTCTCCCAGTGTGTGATTTGGACAGATGACGGTTTGGATTCTGGACATACCATCTTTGAGAATGAACACACCACTAATCTTAGGCAAGCTACTCAACCTTGTTCTCCACTGTGGAAATCAAGTGATACAATCCAACTCACAGGATTGTTTGGGTCATTAAGTGAAATAAAGTGTGTCAACTCCCCATGAGTATCTGGGACATGGTAATTGATTAATGCATAGAGATAGGTTTAGTGTTATCAAGATGCATAGGCCAGGCTTTGTGGCTCATGCCTGTGATCCTAGCACTTTGGGAGGCCAAAGCAGGTGGATCACCTGAGGCCAGGAGTTCTAGACCAGCCTGGCCAACATGGTGAAGCCCCATCTCTACTAAAAATACAAAAATTAGCCGGGCATGGTGGCGGGCACCTGTAATTCCAGCTACTCGGGAGGCTGAGGCAGGAGAATCACTTGAATATGGGAGGTGGAGGTTGCAGTGAGCTGAGATCACACCACTGCACTCCAGCCTGGGTAACTCTCAAAAAAAAAAAAAAAAAAAAAAAAAGAAAAAGAAAAATTCACGGATTCTTAGAGCAAGAAGGAATCTAAGAAACCGTTGAATGTATTGATCATTGAATGACGATATTGAGACAGCACTTACCATGTTCTCAGGGCTGTTTGGGGAATTTTTAAATATATTATCCCGTTGTTATGAGCTCAGTACTCACAGCAATTCTATGTAATAGAAGAGGGAATTTACTATGGGAATTGGCTCATGTAATTATGGAAGCTGAGAAGTCCCACAGTCTGCTGTCTGTAAGCTGGAGAGCCAGAGAAATCAATGGTGTAATTCAGTCCAGGTCCACAGGCTTGAGGACCGGCAGACCTGAGGGTGTAACCCTCCATCTGAGGCTGGTATCCTGGGAAATCAGGGGGCTGCTGGTATAAGTCCTGGAGTCCAAAGGCAGGAGAACCTGGAGCTCTGATGTCCAAGGGCAGGAGAAGAAGGGTGTCCCAGCTTCAGAAGAGAGAGTGAGTTCACCTTTCTTCTGCCTTCTTCTACCTAGACCCTCAGCAGATTGGATAGGGTCCACCCACTTTGGGTGAGGGCATCTTCCTTACTCAGTTTGCGGATTCAAATGCCGATCTCTTCCAGAAAGACCCTTAGAGACACACCCAGAAATAATGTTTTACCAGCTATCTGGACATCCCTTATCCCAGTCAAGTTGACACCTAAAATTAACCATCACATCTCCCAAAGATTGGCAAGAAAGTCTTTTGCAGACGATACGGAGGAACCACCCACCCTACATCACACATCTGTGGACCTGCTTCTGGGAAGAGGGCCCATAGCTTCCCTCAGGCTCTCAAAGGCATCAAGCAAACTGCCAGTCTAAATCCTAGGCGCCCTTCAAAAACCTGACAGATGCAACTTTTCTTTTTCCCTTTTGCAATGAAGAGAGCTCCCTGCACAGCAGGAGTGCCCTGCATGGGTCTTACTTGAGCGGATAAAGGAGAGGCAATAGATGGCGAGGGTCTCTGCATCTTTTCACATCCCAACAGGGCACTCATTAAGCAAGTTAACAGCCTGGAGGTTTTAACTGGAACGGGTATTCTCTGCAAACAATTGCTTTGAGGACTTAACTCTGCTGAGTCACCAGAATTTGCGTGAGGGTCTGGAATCTGGGCCCTTGTTAAGAAGCTTCTTGGTGTTAGTCCTGCCCCTGCCCCTGCCCCTGGGCATGGACTTTATGTAAGCCATGCCTGATTTCTGAAGAACCTCAGGAAGAGACAGCCTGCGGCCACTCAGTTCACTTCATCTCAACTAGAATTAAGGCTGGATGGCCTTTTTTTTTTTTTTTTGAGACAGAGTCTTGCTCTGTCACCCAGGCTGGAGTGCAGTGGTGCGATCTTGGCTCACTGCAGCCTCCGCCTCCCGAGTTCAAGCGATTCTCCTGCCTCAGTAGCTGGGATTAGAGGCACGTGCCACCATGCCCAGCTAATTTTTTTTTTTTTTTTTTTTTCAGTAGAAACGGGATTTCACCATGTTAGCCAGGCTGGTCTCGAACTCCCGACCTCAGGTGATCCACCTGCCTCAGCCTCACAAAGTGCTGGGATTATAGGTGTGAGCCACCGCGCCTGGCCGCTACCTTCTGTATTTTTAGTAGAGACAGGTTTTCACCATGTTGGTCAGGCTGGTCTCGAGCTCCTGACCTCGTGATCTGCCCGCGCCTTGGCCTCCCAAAATGCTGGGATTACACACATGAGCTACCTTGCCCGGCCTTGAATAATGATGCTTTTAAGGTTTACTTCTGTAGAAAGACTTTTCTGAATTAAACCAATTTGGGTTAAAAGTCCATTCAAGGTTTTAACAAAGTATGGTGAACAAATGATGTTTTAATGCAGCACTAATACTCCTACACAGGTAAGGAAATGCGACTTGTTTAATTTAATCTAGTACCTGGTCTATAGCACTGGAAGGTCTTAAGAGAGTTTGTTTAAGCAATCTTGTTTCTCAAAGCCAAAACATATGTAAATTAAAATTTTTTACTGTATTGGGAAAATTTTAACTAATCACATTTTCCTGGTATGTGTATTTTAAAATGCCGATAAAATAATCTACCTAACAGCATTTTAATGTATAAACAAGCAAGTATGTGTGCCCAAGAGGAAACAACTGTGCATTTAGATGTGAAGAATGGGAAAAAAGTATCATGTCTCCTCTACACAGTAAGATTTTCACTCCACTTTGAGCAGGGCTTAAGGGTTACATTATAAAATATGTAAGGAATACATGTTTATTACATAAAAACTTTAGAAACTCAGCAAAGTATTATATACAAAAAGTATCCTTAATAATCAACAAATTGTTATTAAGACTTGAAAAAAAGTAGGCTAGTGTGGTGGCTCACACCTGTAATCCCAGCACTTTGGGGGGCCGAGGTGGGCAGATCACCTAAGGTCAGGAGTTTAAGATCAGCGTGGCCAAAATGGTGAAACCCCATCTCTACTAAAAATGCAAAACTTAGCTGGGCGTGGTGGTGTGCGCCTGTAGTCCCAGCTACTTGGGAGGCTGAGACACAAGAATTGCTTGAACACGGGAGGAGGAGGATGCAGTGAGCTGAGATGGTGCCACTGCACTTTAACCTGGGTGACAGAGCAAGACTCCATCTCAAATTAAAAAAAAAAAAAAAAAGTAGTATAATTAGTGACAAAGTTCATTCAGGAGGTAGGAGAGGAAGCGTTTAAGAACAAATGTTTGAAGAAGGTACACTTAACATTTCAAAAAATTATATATACATATGTTTTCACATATATTTCATTCTATAAAATAGATATTATTCCCACTCCATCAATGAGGAATTTCTTCTGAATGAATTTCTGCAGGCATCTTTATGAATTGTCCTATTTATAGCTATACTGCATGTGAGGGATAAGAACAATAGCAGACCAGGTGCAGTGGCTCACACCTATAATCCCAACATTTTGGGAGGCCGAGGCAGGCAGATCACTTGAGCCCAGGAGTTCGAGACCAGCCTGGCCCACATGACAGGACCCACATGACAAGACCCCATCTCTACAAAAGACACAAAAAATATGTCAGGCATGGTGGTGCATGCCCATAGTCCCAGCTACTCAAGAGGCTGAGGTAGGAGAGTTGCTTGAATTCAGAAGGAGGAGGTTGCAGTGAACCAAGATTGCACCACTGCACTCCAGCCTGGGCAAGACCCTGTCTCAAAATAAATAAATAAATAAATAAATAAATAATAATGGTTAACATTTAATGAGCCCTGCAATTTGTCAGGTACTTATTTAACTCAAAAACTATTATTATTGTTATTCCTATTGTCATTGTTCTTATCACTCATATGCAGGATAGCTATAAATAGGACAATTCATAAAAATGCCTGTAGAAATTCCTGTATGAATATAAAACTTTTTATGAATAATCAGTAAATCCAGATAAAGTATTATTGTAGGCAAGACCCACCGATGGACGCTAATATTGGTGGGGAAAAGCTTGAGGAGAAACAGGATATTTACATTGTCTTGAAATAACTCGCTCATTGAGAATCGCACTGCACCAGCGGAGAAACCCAGCGGGCAGCACTTTACTGGGTGATGGGCATTCACATCACCAAGAAGAGGACGTATCGAATGACGAAGCCCCGTGGGGATGCATTGCACTGAGGGCACGGCGTTATTTATGCAGTATTCTTGCTAAAAGTATAGCCTCAATCAGATCATGAGAGAACATCAGACGGCCCCAGACCAACAGACATTCCACAGCAATAACTGACCAGGATTCTGCAGAGGTGTGTTCGGGTCACTGAGAGACAGTCCCAGATTGGAGGAGACAAAGAAGCTACAACAACTGAATGCAGGAGGGCTCCTAGACGGGATCCTGGAAGAGAAAAAGGGTATTAGTGGGGCAACTGACCAAATTCAATTTAGGTCTGTAGCTTATTTTGCATCATGTCACTGCTAATTTCCTGGGTTTGATTATTTTGCCCTGGCTATGAAAGATGTGAACGCTGGGAATGCTGGGTGAGGATATAAGAACTCGCTGTCCTATCTGTCAAGTTTTCTCTAAGTCCAATATTATTTCAAAATAAAAAAGTATAAAGGAAAGAAGCAATGGCTGCAAGTAGGATGGTTCTTTCCCACTTGAGCCCCAAATCAACCACATGCCCCCCAGACAGTCGTTCTCCAGTTACTGCCACCAATCTGCGATCTGGCTGCTTCTCACAGGGGAAACTGTCACAGCCCCCAGAAGAACCGTGGTAGGGACTGATTGATTGATTCGTAAATTAAGTTCTGGGCAAAATAGGAAAGTGCTGGTTATTAATGATAAAAGAACTGGCTGTTGCTTACCAACAACTGGCATATGATAAGCAGAAGCTTGAATTCAGGGATCTTCAAAGACATATAGGCAAACTGACCAAAACGTGCTCAGCACTGCAAATGCACGGCATCACAGGGCTCGCAGGCTGCACTGCAAATGCACGGCATCACAGGGCTCGCAGGCTCGTGGAGAGGCCGTGGGGGGCAGCAGGGAATAAACAGCACTCCTGTCTTCTCCTCCTGCGTTCTGAAGCAATTCACAGTACAGTCAGCCAGACAGCAAGATGGCAGTTTACCAGTGTTTAACCTCACTGGGGAAAAGGGTTTTTCCTCTGCTTTCCAATAGGTTTTTTCCTAATCTTACCCCAGTTTCACCCAATCATAGGCACGTGTGAGTAATCACAGCCCCTGAAATGACAGAAGAATACAATGACTATGTCTTAGACAGCCCGTTACTTCCCCAAATCGTAAAAGAGCCAGAAACCCTCCGCTTCTCCTCTCTAGACACCCACCAAAAAGTTTCCGTCTTCCCTTCCACAGGCTGGAGTGAAGGGGAAGAGAGTAGAAATTCCTTATTCGTAGGTGAAGGGATTCAGAATGTGCTGCTCCAAAATACACACTTTGACATCAGGATTAATTGGAATTGACAGCAACTGAGAAGATGCAGATGCAAGAAAAACTCTCTGCCCTCCAAACTGGCAAAGATACCCCCCCTTCTGTCTGCTGGGAAGGACAGAAACTAATCACCAGAGACAATTCTAGATGCTCATCCGCAGGAGAAAACACTAGAGGATCCTACATAACAAACCTTACTAACCACCCTTATCTTCCACTCTACCCATAGATGACTTTCCTTCCCACAGTTTGCTGTAACTAGAAGCTCAAAGTCCTTGTCCTTTATCTTATCACTTCTCTACAAATGTATTGTTCTTTGATAAGGATAGAAGCCCACATGTTCACCCCCTCTTTGAGTTACTCATCTCTGAGTGCTCTCGTGTGTGTGTGTGTGTGTGTGTGTGTGTGTGTGTGTGTGTGTGCGCGCGTGCGTGGTGCATGTGCTAATAAGCTTGTTTGTTTTTCTCTTGTTAATCTGTCTTCTGTCAGTCCAATTTACAGGGCCTCTGCCAATGAACCCAAGATAGGTGGAGGGAAGAGAAAATTTTCCTGTCCTACATGGGCTAAGCTCAGAATGCTGGGAAAAGAGGGAAAATACATTTCCTATAGCCCACACCTAAAAGTCTAGCAAAAGTACGGGAATTAAGATTTCCAGGGCCTGGGAGCTGGGTGTGGTAGTAAATGGGGTGTTAACATTTGATGAGGACAGAGATTCCATTTTGCAAGATTGTAAGAGGTCTTGGAGCCAGGCATAGTGGCTCACACCTATAATTTCAGGAGTTCAAGACTAGCCTGGGCAACATGGTGAAACCCCATCTCTATAAAATACAAAAATCAGGTCGGGGGTATGGTGTTTTGGGGATGGATGGTGGTGATGGTAGCACAACAGTATGTTTATTTTGTCTTTTTTTTTTATTTTTTGTTTTTAGAGATGAGGTCTTGTTCTGTCACCCAAGCTAGAGTGCAGTGGTGTAATCACAGCTCACTGTAACCTCGAACTCCTGGGCTCAAGAGATCCTCCTGCTTCAGCCTCTCCAAGCTGGGGACTACATGCGTGTGGCACCATGCCAGGCTAATTTTTTTTTTCACTCTTTCGTAGAGACAGGGCCTTGCCATCTTGCCCAAGCTAGTCTCAAACTCCTGGGCTCAAATAATTCTCCTGTCTTGGCCTCCCAAAGTGCTCGGATTACAGGCGTGAGCCACTGTAATGTGCACAATATGAATGTACTTAATGCCACTGAACTGTATGCTTGAAAATGGTCACGATGGTACATTTTACATAATGTATGGTTTATCACAATTGAAGTTTAAAAAAAATTTTTTTTTTTTTTTGAGACGGAGTCTCGCTCTGTCGCCTAGGCTGGAGTGCTGTGGCCGGATCTCAGCTCACTGCAAGCTCTCTCCTGCCTCAGCCTCCCAAGTAGCTGGGACTACAGGCGCCCGCCACCTCGCCCGGCTAGTTTTTTGTATTTTTTAGTAGAGACGGGGTTTCACCGTGTTAGCCAGGATGGTCTTGATCTCCTGACCTTGTGATCCGCCCGTCTCGGCCTCCCAAAGTGCTGGAATTACAGGCTTGAGCCACCGCGCCCGGCCAAAATTTTTTTTTTTTTTGAGACGGAGTCTTGCTCTGTCTCCTAGACTGGAGTGTGGTGGCACGATCTTGGCTCACTGCCACCTCCGCCTCCCAGGTTCAAGTGATTCTCCTGCCTCAGCCTCCTGAGTAGCTGGGATTACAGGTGTCAACCACCAGGCCTGGCTAATATTTGTGTTTTTAGTAGAGATGGGGTTTTACCATGTTGGCCAGGCTCATCTCGAACTCCTGACCTCAGGTGATCCACCCACCTTTGCTTCCCAAAGTGCTGAGATTACAGGCGTGAGCTACTGCACTCGGCACAATTTAAGTTTTTGATTAAGAAATGAAAGGAAATAGTACATGAATTATTAGCATGGCTGCAAATCCATTATGACTATACTGTATCAATACTATTTGGAAGCCAAATCAAATAGCATCACTAAGTCTAGATTTATATCCACTCTGGTGAAGAAGTAGAAAATGGTCTCAGAAACTTACTTTTAGTTATTCTCTCTCCGAGGAGTACAGCATAGAGATGGTAAGAAAATATTCCTATAAACACTCCTGCTTGCTTCAGGAGTAAATGAGAGGATGGTTTGGGTTTCTCAATCATGAACAAGGGAAGAAGCTCATTTGTGGATCTTATCAAAGAAGAAGTCGGTAGAGACAGAAGATTCCAGGGAAACAATCTATGACATTGTTTTGTTCTGAGTCAAAGGCAACATCGCTGGACTCAGATAAGTGAATGGGCATTGGCCAAGATGGTGGTGGTTAGGGTGAGAAGGCACTGTGTCTCTTCCCTGCAGGCGGTCGTGTTTTCTGCCCCAGATCTCATCTTTATTCGTTGGATACGAAGTGTCTCTGAGATGGCTCCAGATGGAACCTGAACCCGTGACCTCCCCACATAAAGACATGCGTGACACCCATTACACCATCTGGGGCTCATAAAACCACATGCTCTGTCTTTTCCTGGCTCTCAAGCTGTTCGAAAGCTGAACGGCAATATTTGGGACCGCTCTGGTTTATTCGTGGACTTTAATTCAAAACACATTTCCACAAAGAGAGGCAGAACAAAGCACAATAGCACTAAAGTTCAATTTACATTCTCAGTCAGTGAAACAAAATGGAAATAGAAAACAGTTGTGGGAGAGTCGTTTATAACCAAACTACGGCTCCAAAAGCGCCTTTCCTATAATGTCGTGGAGTAAAAGACGTTTTAGAAACCGCCAGCAAACACTTAAGTGACCAAAAAAGGAGAGGTGAAGGCTTTCTATTAAAAAAAAATTATTAAAGAGCTGATGGTGTCGTCTGATCTCTCCCTCCTAATTTGGCAGATACAAGGTTACTTCCGTATTTCCTGATTTAAAACACTTCCCTTCTCTTGACGGTTGTTTGGATGCTGCCGGTCACTGGGAAGCCATTGCTGTCATGGAAATCCCTGCACACGACACACGGGTTTCCTTCGGTTTGGCGAGACATTCCCAGATGACCGCAGAGCTTGTCTGCCATCACATCTCCGTGATTTCCAGGTACAAATTTACCGTAGTAAGTTATGTCTGGCTTGTTCTGCAAAAAAATATACCAAGTGCTAGCAGATGGACACAATTGCAGCCACTATGTCAGCGACATGGTTAAGAAAGTGTGCAGAGCACGTGCCCTCCTTACGTGATTAGAAACGCTGCAGAGTCGCGGTGATAAAGCAAGGGGCTCCCTGACTTCAATTTCAAACTGGATCTCACACAGTTAATCAGCAGCAGAACTAGAAGAAGATGTGTGATTCCAAGTCTTAGGCATTTTCTACAAGGCTGAAAAATGGAAATTCTTCTGGTACCAAGTACAAACCCCTCATCCTGGCGGCCACAGGAAATGCTGGCAGCCCTGTGGAAGGGGCGGGGGGGCGGGGGGCAGGCTGGCCTCATCCCTGGGTCTGTGCTTGCGCTGTTTTCTTCTCTTCCAACTGATGAAATCAGAGCTTCTCTAAAACAGCTCTGAGTCCCCAGGCCAGGTTCTCTTTGCCCACTTAGTGTTCCTTTCTTTCTTTTTTCTTTTTCTTCTTTATTTTTTCTTTCTTTCTTTTTTTTGCGACGGAGTTTTGCTCTTGTTGCCCAGGCTGGAGTGCAATGGCGGATCTCTGCTCACTGCAGCCTCCGCCTCCCGGGTTCAAGTGATTCCCCTGCCTCAGCCTCCCGAGTCGCTGGGATTACAGGTGCCTGCCACCATGCCCAGCTAGTTTTGGTATTTTTAATAGAGGCGGGGTTTCACCAGGTTGGCCAGGCTGGTCTTGAACTCCTGACCTCAGGTGATCTACCCACCTCGGCCTCCCAAAGTGCTGGGATTACAGGCGTAAGCCATCGCGCCAGGCCACTTAGCATTTCTTTTGCTGGCTCTTTCTCATAATATAACTACTTATCTGCAGGCATGCTTCTACTGCCCAGTTGTCAGCTTTCTAAGGATGTGGAGCAGTCCTTATTCATCTTTGCCTCCTGGATTTTTGCTCAATGCTTGGTGTATAGTCAGTGGCTTGTTAGGTGTTTTTTGGAATGAACTGATGCTCTATCCTTATTAAATTCAATGACTTTTCAAATCAAATTTTTTTCAACTTTTTATTTTACTTTAATTTTTATAGAGATAATTGCCAAGGAAATCTACTTCCAATACATTTAGGTTTTCTAGGAAATGGTTGGAGGCAAAACTTGTTAGCTCCTCCAGAACCCAATTCATAACCCTCAAATCCCTTTCTCACACTTAGAAGATGTTAGGATAGTGAAATCCTGGCTTCCCAGGCTCCCTTGCAGCTCAGTTTGCCACGTGATTCAGGCATGGCCAAAGATATATCAGTGAGAGTCCCTCGGGAGGCTTCTTGATAAGGAAAGGGCCCTGTGGCCCTTCTCTTCCACTGACGGTTGCTGCAGCCACCAGCAGCCACAAGGCAGCAAATATGAATCTGAAATCCATCCCACCAAGGACAGAGGAGCAAGAAGATAGAAAAGATCAGGATTCCTGAAGGCGTTATGGAGCAGCTGAACCTCTGGTAACAACTGCTGCCTCCCGACTTCTTGTTATTTAAGAAAAATATGCCCTTCATTATGTAAACCACTTTTAGGCAGGAGGAGGCCTAACGTCTTTGAATCCTTCCAGCTCAAAGAAATCATGGAGCAATTGCCCTAAGCAAGCACTGTGCTAGTTAGAAGGGAAATACACAGCTTAACTAAGACTCAGCAAGAATGAAGATGCCTTTTAGAATTTAGACGAAAACCTCCTTAAGAGTATTATCACGTTCCCAAGTCTTAGTATATATGTGTATATATATATATATTTGTTTTTCTGTTATGATCTCCCAACATAAAACTATGTAAAGTGGACCCTTGAACAACATGGGTTTGAACTGCGTGGGGTCACTTATACAAGGATTTTCTTCCATCTCTGCTACCCCTGAGACAGCAAGACCAACCCCTCCTCTTCCTCCTCCTCCTCAGCCTATTCAATGTGAAGACAATGAGGAGGAAGAGCTCTATGATGGTCCATTTTCACTTGATGAGTAGGAAATATGTTTCCTCTTCCTCATGATTTTCTTAATAACATTTCTTTTCTCTGGCTTACTGTATTATGAGAACACAGCATATGGTACATATAACATACAGAATATGTGTTAATTGCTGCTTATGTTATCAGTAAGCCTTCCAGTCAAAAGTCTGCTATTCATGGCTAAGTTTGGGGTAAGTCAAATGTTATTTTGGATTTTCAACTTTACAAAGGAATGGGTTTCAGCACCCCTAACTCCCACATTGTTCCAGGGTCAACTGTATGTATTTTTCTGAATAATGATTTTAAAAAGATTACAGCTTTCCTGACACTTTATCCCTGAGTACTTCCTCCTACACTTCCAAAAAATGAGGAACTTCTACAACCAATATCATACTTCACAAAGTTAATAATCCCCAAAGATCATCTAATGCTCAATCCATATTCAAATTTTCCTAATAATTCAACTGCAAATTTCTATTTGCTTTTTTAAAAACCAGGATCCAATCACTGCATTATGCTTTAATCTACACTAGGCCCCACACCCCCTTATTTCTTCATGATTTTGGCTTCTCTAAGAGACCAGGCTAGTTAGCATGTAGTGTGTGGCTTTAAGGATTTTGTCAAACTGTTTCCTTCTTATGTCCTTTTACGTGTTCCTCTGTTCCTGTATTGTCTGTCAACTGGAAGTTAGGTCTAAAGGTTTGGAGAGATTTAACTTAAAAATAGTTTTGGCCACCAGGCGCCATGACTCATGCCTGTACTCCCAGCACTTTGGGACGCCAAGGCGGGTGGATCATGAAGTCAAGAAATCGAGACCATCCTGGCCAACATAATGAGACCCCGCCTCTACTAAAAAATACAAAAATTAGCTGGGTCTGGTGGTGCGCGCCTGTAATCCCAGCTACCTAGGGCTAAAGAATCTCTTGAACCCAGGAGGTGGCGGTTGCATTGAGCAGAGATCGCGCCACTGCACTCCAGCCTGGCGACAGAGACTCCGTCTTAAAAAAAAAAAAAATGGCAATAACATGGCGGAGATCCATGTGTGTATTTCTTCCTTTTTTTTTTTTTGTCTTGAGACGGAATCTCGCTCTGTCGCCCAGGCTGGAGTGCAGTGGTGCGATCTCGGCTCACTGCAAGCTCCGCCTCCTGGGTTCATACCATTCTCCTGCCTCAGCCTCCCGAGTAGCTGGGACTACAGGTACCCATCACCACGCCTGACTAATTTTTTGTATTTTTTAGTAGAGATGGGGTTTCACCATGTTAGCCAGGAAGCTCTTGATCTCCTAACCTTGTGATCTGCCCATCTCGGCCTCCCAAAGTGCTGGGATTACAGGCATGAGCCACCGTGCCAGGCCCCATGTGCATATTTCTTACGGTGTCTGCTTATCACATGGAGTTGTGTGGAGCTTCACACATCCAAGCGGAGTTGAGCCTCTTGGTCACTGATCTTGTGCCTCTGCTCTCTGTCCACAAATGCTCATGACTCCCTAGCACACTGTCCTTGTGCCTGGTCTGATATGACTAGTTGTGGTCCCACGCCTCCATGTCTGTTTGTGCTGTGCCCTGTACGGAAGTAATCTTCCTCCTGTAAGCATGGCCTACAGTCATAGAAACAATAGACAAGACTGTTGTGATAATAAAACGAGATGCCCTAAGGGATCTCCTGTATGCTGGACATTCGCTTCCTTACCTCCATTGTGGAATAGTTGTCCAATTTCCCCTTGGTAATCAAGATCAATCACCCCAGCCAGCACTAGCTCTTTTTGCAGCGTATTGATTCAGAGGCATGAGGAACCCAAAGTGGCCAGGTTGCAGTCAACTTCCAGTTCAATTGAACCATTGTTTTTGTCCTCCCACTGAAACTCAGACTTCTAGGCCAGTGGAGCATAAAGGCACAGGACCAGGAAGCAAAACTTTTGCTCGTGGGTCACTAGGGGTGATGGTGGGTGGTGCCTCTCCCATTTCCACCCCTTTGTGTCTGGACCTATGAATCCTGGCTATGGGAGAAACAGCACCATAGATTACATGCTGATTTGGAGAATATGCAACCTCCTGGGAAACCTTGCCCAGCCCTGCAAGGTACAGCTACCTAACTGGCACTGTAACTGAGTCTTCAAAAGGCCGTTGCACTCTCCTAGCAAAATTGCTGCTTTAGGATGATAGAGAATATGGTAAAACCAGTGAATTCTACGAGCACGGACCTATTGCCACACTTCTTTCACCGTAAAGTGAGTTTCTTGATCAGAAGCAAGGCAGTGCGGCTGATGGTGGATAAGGCATGCGGTGACTCCACAAATGGTAGTTTTGGCAGAAGCACTGTGAGCAGGGAAGGCAAATTTGTATCCAGAGTAACTGTCTATTCCAGTAAGGACAAAATTCTGTCCCTTCCATGATGGAAGTGGTCCGATGTAATCAATCTGCCATCAGATAGTTGGTTGAGCCCCCGAGTGATCACACTGGGGGCTCGGTGTTGCTGTCCGCTCCGGGTAGATTGGGCACTCAGTGGAGGCTGTATTCAGGACTTCCACTCTGTGCTGCTGAGCCCGTGCATAATCTCCATCCCTGCCACCATGGCCACTACGTTCACAAGCCCGCTGGGCCATGGGACTGGGAGAAGAGACTGACTGATATCCACAGAATGGATGTTCCTATTCACCCGATTTTAAAGTCCTTTTTGCTGAGGTCACCCTTTGGTAAACATTCACATGAAGCACAAATATCTTTATGTTCTTTTCCCAGAGAGGTCTATACACATAGAGCTTCCCTAAATTTTCATGTCATCAATTTTCCAATCATGTGCCTTTCAAGTATCTGATCATCCAGCCAAGCCACCGGCTACAGCCCATGAATCAGTTTATAATCGCACATCATGCCATTTCTTCTTCCAGGCAAAGTGGACAACCAGGGTAAACTGCTCAAAGTTTGGCTCACTGGGGGGATTTCTCTTCACCACTGTCCTCCGGGGCTGTCCTGGAAAGGCGCTGCAGTGCTGCAGCTGTCCGCTTCAGAGTAGGGGCTGCATATCCCACAGAACCCTCTGTAGTCCAGGAATGAGTGGTTTCTTCCTCTGACAATGATTGTCAGGAACTTACTTGTGAGCCCATCAGTGCAGGCTAGGAGAGAGGAGGCAGTGTAGCAAGGCCACTTCGTGTAACGTACTTGTGCCTTCAGGGCCTACTTGGGTCTGATCATGTATATACCACTTCCATCTGATGATGGAGTGCTGCTGTGCACACTCAGCTTCATGGATTGGTGGGTGATCTACCACCCGGTTTATGAAGGGCAGTGCAGGTGGCCTGGTAACTTGATGGTCCATGCTTGAGTGTTCAGCCTCTAAGACCTAGTAGCAGGCCAAGAGCTGTTTTTCCAAAGGAGGGTGGTTACCTGTTGACGACGCAGGGCTTTGCTCTAAAATGTAAAGGCCTGTGCTGCCATTCACCCTTACAGGCCTGCTGAGGGTTCCAACAGCATCCCTATCTGCCACTGGCATTTCAAACACCATTGGATCTGCTGAGTCATATGCTGAGCAGCAAAGCAACTTGAGCAGCAGCCTAGATCTGTTGCAGAGCCTTCTCCTGTTGTGGGCTTTATGCAAAACTAGCAGCTTCTCTGGTCACTTGGTAAATGGACTGGAGTAACACATACAAATGAGGAATATGTTGCCTCCAAAATTCAGAGGCCTATTAGGCACTGTGCTGCTTTCTTAGTTATAGGAGAGGCTAGATGCAACAGCTTACCCTTCATATGAATACCTTAATGTGCCTCCACATCACTAGACCCCCTAGAAATTTCACTGACATAGAAAGCCACTGAGATTTAAAAAAAACTTATTTCCCATTCTCTGATATGCAAATGTCTTACCAATAAATCTAGCGTATTTACTACTTCTTGGTCTTAGGTCTGTCAGCGTAATGTCATCAATGTAACGGATGAATGTTTATGTCTTCTGGAAGGGGAAGGCAATCAAAATCTCTGTGAACTGATGGTGACATAAAACTGGAGAGCTGACACACTCCTATCAGTGCAGGTGTATTGCTTGCCTTGCCAGCTAAAGGAAACTACTTCTGGAAGTCTTCACTAACATAGATGGAGAAAAAAGCACTTGCTGGACCAGTAGCTGCACACCAGGTACCAGGGTTTGTGCTAATTTCCTCAAGCAATGAAACGACATCTGCTACAGTTGAAGTCACCACGTGATTAAGTTCACAATAATCCATCCACTGTCATTCTCCAAGAGCCTTCTGTCTTCTGCACAGTCCAAATAGGTGAGCTGAATAGGTTTATGGGGCATCCTTAAGTCCTTGATGGTGACACTAATCTCTGCAAGCTTTCCAGAAATGTGGTGTTGCTTTTGGTTTACTATTTTCCTAGTCAAAGTAGTTCTAGTGGCTTCCACTTGGCCGTTCCCATCATAATAGCCCTCACTCCATTCTACTGGTCAGGGAACAAATGTGGGGATCCAACCAGCTGCTGAGTACATCCATTCCAATCGTGCATCCTCAAACTAGGAAATCACAACGGGGTGAATTCAGGGACCCACTGGGCATGGGCACTGAATGATTATCAGGAGATTTTCTTTTAAGGGACAAAAATTTTGTTTTTGTTTTTGTTTTTTGAGACAGGGTCTCATTCTGTTGCCCAGCTGGAGTGCAGTGGCATAATCTCGACTCACTGCAACCTCTTCCTCCCAGGTGCAAGCGATTCTCCTGTCTCAGCCTCTCTAGTAGCTGGGATACCGGTACGTGACACCATGCCTGCCTAATTTTTGTATTTTTAGTAGAGACAGGGTTTCATCACGTTGCCAGGCTGGTCTTGAACTCCTGACCTCAAATGATCCGCCTGCCTTGGCCTCCTAAAGTACTGGGATTACAGAGGCGAGCCACTGTAACCAGTCACAAGCGTTTAAAATTAGATTTCGATGATGGTATATTCATAACCTTGTGAATATATTGAAAAACATTAAATTGTATACTTTAAATGAGTTTTGTGTATGTTAATTATATCATCAAGCTGGTTTTTTTTTTTTCTTTTAATTTCAGTGAGTTGTTTTCCTCCAATTCAAACTTAACTCCATGTGTACATTTCCCTTAGAGACCTCTGCTTTTTTTTCTCTGATTTTATTTTCCTTTTTACTCACCTAATCAAGAGGGGGCATTTAAAAGATTCTGCAAAGTCACGGGCTAGAAAGAAAGAGTTGTTAACTTTGCATAATGATGATGTTAAAGGTGATTTTTATTTGGGGGTTATAAAAATTTTCTATAATTAGTTTTTTCTTTTGTAACTGTAAACATACTGATTTTTTTCTTTTTTTTTTTTTTTTCTTTTTTTCTTTTTTTTTTTTTTTTTTTTTTTTTCGCCCAGGCTGGAGTGCAATGGCACGATCTCTGCTCGCTGCAACCTCTGCCACCTGTGTTCAAGCAATTCTCCTGCCTCAGCCTCCCGAGTAGCTGAGATTACAGGTATAATCTCTCACTACCACACCTGGCTAATTTTTTTTTTTTTTTTGTATTTTTAGTAGAGATGGGGTTTCACCATGTTGGCCAGGCTGGTCTTAAACTCCTGACCTCTGGTGATCCACCCACCTCGGTCTATCATAAAATAGCCTTCCAGCATCACTTTCACTTTTTAGCTTTCTTACTATTTCTGCTTTGCCTACCCATATAGGGGAGGAAACACTTATTTCCACCCTCTCAGGTTTTGTGGCTGGCCTAAGAATTCAACTGACATAGATTAACACAGAGACAAGCATACACACTGGTTTAATATTTTAACATGTGCACAGGAGTCTTCAGAAGGAAAACAACGACTTGAAGAAGCCATGAAGCTCAAAAGTGTAGACACCATTTTACACAAAGAATGGTAAATTACGGTGTGACAAGACAAAGGGCCTGGGTTGGGGACAGTAAATTGTGGGATGGTGACTGGGAAATATGCGGGGAAAACCAGTAGGGGATTAGCATTATTTTTGTAGGCTTGTTTGCGCAGGTCCATTCTGCATCGACTCCCAGTCTCTGGTGACATGAATGTTCTCTTCCTGGTATAGGAAGGGCACCTTTCTCATGGGGAATTCTGTGACCTGGTTTTAGGTAGAAAGGGGCAGGGCAGAGAACCCCGTCTGCATCTGTTTCTGATGTGCTTTCAGTTCAACTAAATCAATATGCCAAAGCCACATATATCGGGGTGGCCAGTTCTCCACCCCTTCACCCAGCATCCCCACATCCTCCTGATAGCTGAGCTGTTCCTCATCGTGGACTTGGTGGCACTTACCTATGTGTAATTTTCTTGATTTTATTTATGACTGAGACATGAGTTTTCTTTTCTAGGAATATCGGATAGATGATACCATATCCATTAGAATACTCTTGGCTCGTCTAAGCGACGAAGGTAACTGCAAGTGGAAGGCAGGTTAGGTTCCAGGTGTGACTGATGAGTGGCTCAGCTATGCCATCAGTGACTGGGGAACTTTCTCTCCTTGTGCTGTGGCAGTTTGGGTACTGGCTTTTCTCTGGCAAGCACAGTGGGGGCAGCAGGGCAAGGCCTCACATTCGGCCATAACAACATCTAGAAGGACATATTCCAGAATTCCTCACTTCCCCGCAGACTCTTCCTTCACCAGTTAAGGGAATGGAGTTCCACTGAGGGGCGGGGCAGGGGGAGCATGGACATGGGGGTGGGTCAGTCCTCTCTGGTTTCAGTCTGTAGGAAAGAAGACCTGAAAAGCAAACACAGAAACAAACCAAGGTACTGAAGAAAGACAGAAGGTCAGGTGGATGCTGGGTGGACAACCAGTTATGCCCAGCAGAGCTGCCCTCGCATGGTTGCCAGGACTTGGGTCCAGCAGTCAGTGAGCTTTCCACCTTCTCTCTGCCTCCCGAGGCCCCCTCTTGTACACACACACATTCATGTAGTTCTGTATTCCAGGGGGCACTTGTTGAAAGTGATTGACTGATGTAACCCCTCATGCTTCTGAGCTTTCAAGATAAAAGAGACATTTGCAGCTGGGTGCAGTAGCTCTTGTCTGTAACCCCAACACTTTGGGAGGCTGAGGCAGGTGGATCACCTGAGGCCAAGAGTTCAAGACCAGCCTGGCCAACATGGTGAAACCCTGTCTTTACTAAAAATACAAAATTAGTTGGGTGTGGTGGCGCACACCTGTAATCCCAGGTACTTGGGAGGCTGAGGCAGGAGAATCACTTGAACCCAAGAGGCGGAGGTTGCAGTGAGCCAAGCTCACACCACTGCACTCCAACCTGGGCAACAAGAGTGAAACTCCATCTCAAAAAAAATAAATAAACAGAGACATTTGCACTGTGGCTAGACACAGAGTAAGCCCAGGTGAGTGCGTGTCTTAAAGCAGTCTATAGTCTGTGACTATCAGGGCAACTGTCAGGCATGACATGATAGGTTGCATAGATCATTTAAAAAATTTTTAAATTGTAGTAAAATATACCTAACATAAAACTTACCATCTTGGCTGGGCATAGTGCCTCACACCTGTAATCCCAGCACTTTGGGAGGCTGAGGCGGGTGGATCACTTGAGGTCAGGAGTTTCAGACTAGCCTGGACAACATGGTGAAACCCCATCTCTACTAAAAATACAAAAATGAGCCTGGTGTGGTGGCGCATGCCTGTAATCCCAGCTACTTGGGAGTCTGAGGCAGGAGAATTGCTTGAACCTGGGAGGGTGAGTCTGCAGTGAGCTGAGATCGCACCACTGCACTCCAGTCTGGGGGACAGAGTGAGACCCTGTCTCAAAAAAATAAAAATAAAAATAAACAAACAATAAACAAACAAAACCTTACCATCTTAATCATGTTTTTTTGTTTGTTTGTTTTTGCAGTTGCAAGATTTAATAGAGTGAAAACAGAGCTCCCATACAAAGGGAGGGGATCCAAAGAGGGTAGCCGTTGCCAGCTGGAATACCTGGGTTTATATCCTGAACATTGTCCCTCCTGCTGTGCTCTCAGGCAATAGATGATTGGCTATTTCTTTACCTCCTGTTTTTGCCTAATTAGCATTTTAGTGAGCTCTCTTTACTACCTGATTGGTCAGGTGTGAGCTAAGTTGCAAGCCCCATGTTTGTTTGTTTGTTTATTTATTTATTTATTTATTTTTTGAGACGGAGTCTCGCTCTGTCTCCCAGGCTGGAGTGCAGTGGCCGGATCTCAGCTCACTGCAAGCTCCGCCTCCCGGGTCCACGCCATTCTCCTGCCTCAGCCTCCCGAGTAGCTGGGACTACAGGCGCCCGCCACCTCACCCGGCTAGTTTTTTTTTGTACTTTTTAGTAGAGACGGGGTTTCACTGTGTTAGCCAGGATGGTCTCGATCTCCTGACCTCATGATCCACCCATCTCGGCCTCCCAAAGTGCTGGGATTACAGGCTTGAGCCACCGCGCCCGGCAAGCCCCATGTTTAAAGGTGGATGCAGTCACCTTCCCAGCTAGGCTTAGAGATTCTTAGTCGGCCTAGGAAATCCAGCTAGTCCTGTTGAGTCCCCACTCTCAATAGGAAAACCCAAGTGCTGTTGGGGAGGTTGGTTGATGACTGCTCTAACTGCTTCCTACTGAATTGGGGCATAGTAGGGGTTGTGCAGTTGAGATTTCCTCTGCAGGGGTGCCTTTGATGTCATCAACATTGGAGCATGGGCTAGCAGCCCGGTCCAGGGGTCCACGGTAGATCTTAGTCATGGACTGCACCTGGGGCTCCATTTGAAGAACGATTTGTAATTTTACAGCTTTGATTCTGGAAGAGACAAACTTAACAAGGAGGTTAAAGATACAGGGTCCAAAGAGGAGTGACAGTATTATAGCTGCTAGAGGTCCTAAGAAGGGGAGAATCCAGGGCACCCACTGGCTGAGAAGGCCCCAGGGTCTGGTGTTTTGAAGCTCCTCTGCTCTAAGTTGTATTCAATCTCTAATTTATTTAACTTTCTCGGTGACGATTCCGGATTGATTAACATAATAACAGCATTCTTCCCGTAAAAAGAAACAGGTTCTTTCAGTGGTTAGCAAGTCTAAAGCTCTTCGATTTTGAAGGTCTACTGCTGCTAGGGAGTTCAGTTGATCTTGCAAGGTGACCAGGGAGTCGGCGACTTGTTCCATGTCACCATTTAGTTATTGAGATAGTTTGCAGTAGAACTGAGTAGAGGTTGTAATACCGCTGATGCCAGTACCTAGTCCGCCTAGTACTCCTGCTCCAATAACAAAAGGAAGAATGGGTACTCATGTTGTGGGGCTTAGGTACGACATAATTGTATAAATCTTGTTCAGTGTAGATGGTCATAGGGGGCACTAAGAATGAAAGGAAGCACATAGATTCCGAAGAGCCATTCAAACAATGATAGGCTGGATATGTTCCTCACTGAGGGCCCTGGTGCCTTTGGACAATTTTAGCCCTAGGTATTTAACCTGCTGTGAGCAGAGCTGAGCCTTCGGTTTGGAAACCTTGTAGCCACAGGTGGTGAGGAAATTTAAGAGGGCTTAGGTGGCTTGATGGCACAAGGTTTCTGAACAGGCAGCTAAAAGTAAATCATCTACATATCGAAGGACAAGAGTGTCCAGGTATGAGAACTGGCTCAAGTCTTGGGCTAATCCCTGGCGAAATAGATGGGGGCTATCCCTGAACCCTTGGGGTAAAA